ATATTTCAGAAGAATAAACTGCAATATCATAAAAGTTATGTTACTGTTGAGTGTGGAAACACATAAATATATTTATGTGTATATCAAAGTGTGAGGCACCCACATTCTGCTAGGCTGCATAATTCAGTCCAGGATATGTACAGTCTACATGCATATTTAATTTTTTTAGCAATAATTTCACTAATATCAGTTGAAAAGCATCACCTTTATGTCACTAATGAAGCAATTGCTAATGAAGCAATTAGTAAGACAGAGCTACAAAATCACAGACATGTTGATAATATTAAACTAGTTTAGGATTACAAGCTAAACATGACTGAGAATATTGCTACCATTAAAACTGAGAGCTGGTTATCAATTTTTTCCGTCCATAAATATTTGAATTTATCCTGGGTAAAGGAATTATATTCTAGATCTATTGCAGATGAACAGGTGAGACATTATATGCAAAAGAAAAAGAAATATTTTAGGAGCAGCAATAATTATATTTATTGAGCCATCTAATTTGGACTTTTTCTACTAATAAAGTCAACTTTTCTATTACATGGATTTTTAAAAAATAAAAAATGAGTTTGCTTCTATAAAAGTATGCTTTTGAATCAAGTTACAGTAAAGATGCAATTCTGAATTACTAAAAAGCTATGTTTTTTCCTGGTTCTTTAATACAAAGATGTGCAAACTGAAATACTTAAGCAGCAGAAATATACTGGCCAAAACGTAACTATTAGACCATAATCTAGCTCAACTGGTTAATGCAAACAGCTTTTGATGCTAGTCAGTCATAAATATTTTAAGTTTCTTGCTTCCGGTAAGATGAACTTCAGGTTTTTAATATTTTTCTATATTCTTGAAATTTGGTACAAATCTATTTGCCAACAGTAGTCATGTTTTGTTTTCACAACACACATTACTGTGAATGAAACTGACTTGAGCAAAATTGTGGTCTAGTGCGTGTTGGCTAGTACAATGAATGAAACAGCCTCTGACAACTATCAAATCCCAAAGAAGCAAGTGGAACGCAACCGAAGAACAAAACCCAAGAGACAATCAACAAACATATAAATGCTGAGAACTGTAAACTGGGAAAAAAAGTGAAATTATTTGACTATACATATAATTGCAATTGTGTATGTACTTGTTTGAAAATAAATGCTACTGAATTCATCAAGATTTATTCCTGAGTCGTTATACCTATTGCAATACTATCAATTTTATTGTTTAAAATGAAACAAAAATGTCCCAAATGACCACTCCTTCAGTGACCACTAGAATTTGCAACAGTGCTAAATGAGTGGTACTTACAGCCAGTCCTTCAAGTTCTGCTTATTGCCGTGCCTTCGTGGTCACATGATCACAATCTGGGTGCTCAGCAACTGGCCTAGATTTCTTACCGTTGCCGCATCCTGCAGACATGTAATCACGATTTGCAACCTTCCTTACTGGCTTCTTACAAACAAAGTCAATAGAAAAGCCAGCAGGAAGTTCAACGTTGTAATTATGTGAGGCTCTCGCTTAATGATCTGCCTAGTGCACGTTTAACAATGGTAACCAGGGAATGTGGGAACTGCCATCATAAAATGGCAGAGTCATATGACATTATGGTATCACTTCACAACAAAAATTCCAGTCCTAATTACCATCATCGAGGACCACCTGTAGTCAAACTTGTGGTATTGTACCTACCCAAAACCATTTGATACTGAAGTTATTTGCTCAAGCCTGTTTTAAAATGCAAAAATAGTAAAACTATCACTATAATTTCAGTTACAAATTTGGTGCACAACAATACAAAAACGTTATTAAAAAAATCCCAGCTTATAGGTTTCATCTTATTTGAGGTGCGTGAGTTCAAGATTGTATTGCATTATAGTTCAATTTCAAATAGAATAATTTCGACCTCTTCCATTCTGTTTAATTTGAATATGTGCATTTTCTTTTAATGGAAAATTTAAAGTTCTTGAAAGCAAACGTACATTTCATCCCTTAATAAAAACTCTTGTGTTTGAAGTTCCTCCTATCTTGATCAATATTGTGTCATGGTTTTTAAAAACAAACTCAACTATTAAGAAAAACAACAACTTTATGTGTCAAAATAAGGATTAAGTTATTCTAAATCTAATTACTTTTTGCTGAATGGAAGGGCTTGGGGAGAACTCAATAGGATTACAGCTTTACTGATTAAATCAATTATTTCATTCTACTGTGGGGAATATGGGATGAACCTCTTGCCATGAATCTAATATTCATGAATTTTCAGTTGCAATGTTATTTAAAGAATAACAAATATTAAAGAAAAAGAACTGTGTAGACATATCACCAATGAAAAACATTCCTATTAAAGAATAAACTAACTTTAAAGAAAAAGAACTGTGCAGACATATCACTAATCAAAAATATTCTTATTAAAACCAGTGATTAACCTGGAGTGAAAACTTTTAAGTAGAACTTTAAATACGATGACAATTTACACATCTTTATATACAACATAGAATTGACAGCAAATATAAATCCTTTAAGAACTGTGCTTTTAAACATATCCCCAATCTGTTTAGAATCCCAAAGGAAACATTAACTGTCTCTTGTCCCAACGGTGTTTTTTCAAGGGGCAACTGGACTTTCTTGGTTTTTCTTTTGAAGACGTTTCGCTTCTAATCCAAGAAGCTTCTTCAGCACTGACTGGATGGTGGGGAATGGAAGGATTTATATTCCTTACTGACAGCTGATCATTTGCATTCTTTTATAGAGTTGTTGAGGCCACTTGAAAGTTTATCTGTGTCCTCAAGGTCACCTGAGTAGTTTAAATGGATGTGGAACTGTGTTCCAAGGAACTTCTTGGAACTTGCAGACTGGAGATAGATGATGTATCCCTCCCTCTCTGTTGAGAGGGCTGTTCAATTTTGACATAGATGGCCTCTTTGACCCCTCTTTCAAACCAGAGGTCCTCTCTGTCCAAAATGTGGACTTTGTTGTCTTCAAAAGAGTGGCCTTTGTCTTTTAAATGCAAATGGACTGCTGAATCTTATCCTAATGGGTTTGTTCTCCTATGTTGTGCCATGTGTTTATGAAGTGGTTGTTTTGCTTCCCCAATGAACAGATCTGCACGTCTCACTGCATTGCACTGCATATACCATGTTGCTTAGTTTGTGTCTGGGTGTTTTATCCTTGGGCTGGACAAAACTTCTGCCTTAGTGTATCCTTGGGTTTAAAGTGGGCACATATGTTGTGTTGGCTGAAGATCCTCCTGAGCTTTTCAGATATTCCTGCAACATATGGAATGACAACATTGGTTTGTTTATTGTTCTCTTCTGTTATGGAGGAGCTCCTACTGGGTCTATTTTGGGATTTGATGAAGACCCAGTTGGGATAGCAACACGTTCCAAGAGCTTCCTTGATGTGTTTTAGTTTGGTTTTTTTCCCCCCCATCTTTGCTGGTAGGCAGGCTTTCAGCTCAGTGGTGCAGGGTTCCCATTTTGTGCTCTGGTGGATGGAGAGAATCAAAATGTAAATATTGATCTGTGTAGGTGGGTTTTCTACAAACTTCAATGTTAAGGCTTCTGTCTTCTTTAATGTGAACTGCACAGTCCAGGAAGGCTAGACTATTTTCCTCAATATCGTCCTGCATGAATTTGATGTGTCTGATATATATCTGATATGTTTGGTGAACACTTCCAATTCTTGTGTTTTCATCTTGACCCAAGTATCGTCCAGTGAATGGGTGGAATTCCTGTGAAAGAGTTTAGGGCTTTGTGGTTTCTACCTCTTCCATGTAGAGCTTGGCCACAATGGGGGACACAGGTAAACCCATGGCGTAGCCATGTTTTTGTCTTTAGAAACCTTCCTTTTATTTAAAATAGGTAGTGGTCAGGCGGAGGTCCAGCATGGCACATATGTGGTCTGGGCTGAGATTGGTTTTGTTACCCAAGGTGCTGTCTTATAGCAGTCATTTCTTCACTACCCTGACAGCTTCAGTTGTTGGAATGCAGGTGAAGAGGGAAGTCACATCATAGGAAACCATGGTCCAGTTGTAGTTTCCAAATCTTGCTGCTGAAGTCCTATGGATTGTTGATGGGATTGGGGGTGTTGCCAACTAGAGGCGCTAATGAAGTGGCTAGATGTTTTACAATGTTGTAGGTGACAAAGTTGCTGCTGCTGAGAATTGGTCTGAGTGGAATTCCCCATTTGTGGATTTTGGGGAGTCCATATATGCATGGAGTGGCTTCCCCAGGATAAAGACAGTAATATTGTGTCTTGTCAATGATATTGTCCTTCAATAGGTGTTGCAAGAAATCAATGACGTTTTTCTTCCAACTGCTGGTGGGATATCTCTTCAGCATCTCAAACGTAGCAGTGTCCTTCAGAGGTCTGTTCAACTTGGTCTTGTAGTCATCTGTGTTCAAGATAACTGTGCATCTTCCTTTATTAGCTGGCAGGATGGTGATGTTTGGGTCTCTTCCTAGGGATGTCACTGCTCTCCTTTCTTGAATTGTGAGGTTGGAACGGGGTGTTTGGCACTGGCCATCAGGAAATGCAGCCGTCCGTCTGCATTTAAAAGACAAAGGCCATTCTTTTGAAGACAACAAAGTCCACATTTTGCACACAGAGGATTGCTGGATGGAAAGAGGGGTCAAACAGGCCATCTATGTCAAAATTGGCCTCTACGACTCCCTAAAAGAATGCAAATGACCAGCTGTCTGCAAGGAATATAAATCCTTCCATTCCCCACCATAAGGTCAGAGCTGAAAAAGCTTCTTGGAGGAGAAGCAAAATGAATGTCTTCAAAGAAAAACAAGTCCAGTCGCCTCTTGTAAAAGCACCTTTGGGACAGCCATGACCTGGATGACTGAGAATCTCCAGAGACATTGAAATGTCTCTTGTTTCTTATCATCTGGCTAAATTAGATTTAGCAGCATATAGATCCCATTTGTAAAACAGCTGATGTCCTGCATCATAGGTTATTCTTTGTCTGATGTTTTAAAACAGAAATAATAAAATAAATTAAGGACACTTTAGGGTAGACTATCTTCTATGACTTAATCTGACGGTGTAGGTGGTGCTTTGACAGAGAGATTCCTTCGGGTGTTGGTCAACCGCCGTTGCTGAGCAAGGAAAGACTGTGCAGGTGGGTACGAATGGCCATCCTTGTAGACAGTACTCCCACTTAAAAGTCTGGATTCCATTCCTAGTTTATGAAATGCTAAACTCTGGAAAGAAACAAGATAAATCACTTAAATCCACGATTCTCTTCATTCAATCTCAAATAAAGCTAAACCTTATGATGGCTGATGTCTACTGTACTGCTAAATTATTAATGCATATATTATTTCCTTTTTTCTGGCTTATTGAAGAGATATACTTAATATCTGGCATAATCAACAGGCATTAAACATGCACAGGAGTCAGATAATATGCTATATAATTGATTCACAAATTATGCACGATACTCCTGGAATAATTTCCAGAAACAGCTCTTCTTAAAAGAAGTATCACATTTGGAATATGACTACTGAAAAATGTATGACAATTATAGATTCCAGCACTCCAGGAATGGACAGTCTATAACACTCATAAGTTGTGGCCTCCAGCCCTCCTCAGACTACACCACCATTTGGCAACAAAACAGGAAGCACAATTTTTGGTGTTATTTCACACACAAATACCCTTCCGGGAGACATAGAGGCCTCTAAATGCTCAGTATCTGCTATGGGACAACAAACAACAATACTGAGATCAAGAATAGCTGAGAAGATGAATAACATTAAAAATCAAGTAAAATGTTAAGTAAAGATTAAGAATTTTACTTTGAAGGAAGAATGGAAGAGTGGAAAATCTATCATAGGAAGATGCTTTCATCAGTAGAATATATTTGGACTTCACCCATGTTTATTAATGTTCTTTCCCATGTGCAGTACAAGTACAGTAGCTCACCTGGTTATACCATGCAGATACAATTAACTTTTCTTCATGCTCCTGAATCCTGACTGATTTACACTGACCCTAAAATGAATTTGTGGGAAATATAAAGTAAGTAGAAGAAATTATATGACATTCAAAGCAATAAATTGATTACTATATGCATAATTTTGAAAGCAACATAAGCCTCAAAAAAAGATTAAGTTTTACTGCTTTATATTATCTTCAGTAATAAATCCAGATTTTAATCACATTCCTTCTGGCCTAATTTTACTAATGTCTTATGGCAGTTCTTAGTTCATTACTAGTGTTTCTCAACCTGGGCAACTTTAAAAGGTATGGACTTCAACTCCCAGAATTCCCCAGTCAGCAATATTGGCTGGGGAATTCTAGGAATTGATGTTCACAGCTCTTAAAGTAGCTCAGGTTGAGACACACTGGTTGTTACCATTTCAAGAAGGAAAAATACATTAAAATGGTTTCATATTGCTTTAGTTTTACTGCTTGGTTTTATGTTTTGTTCTATTGTCGTAAATTCCCTTAAGTGTTCACATGAGCAGAAAGCAAATATGCATTTAATAAATATATACAAAATACAGTTGCCTGATGGTAAGATGAGTGGCGTATAAATTTAATAAATAAATAATACCTCAAGTGTTTCAATTTTTTTGTCTTTCTCTGCCAACTGTTTTCTTAGCAACATTATTTCAGCAGATGCCGGTTTTAATTTGGGATCTAAAGTTTTTATGACCTGCAGAAAGAACATACATTATGTTTGCAATTATTCTTATCTAGTTACAAAATCAACTCAGAAATAACTTATGCAACAATTGCATCAGTCAAATAGTCTAAAGTTTGCCATTCTAATTGAACAAGCCACCTTTATTAAAAATGTTTGGAACAATTTTGCACCGCGACTCCTATTCTTTCTTCCAGAATGTTTTTTCTACCTCCCAGTCTAGCCTATAGCTCCAGTCTATTGCTCCTTTAATTTACATCAACAATTTTGCTCTGCTTTTTTGCTTTTACAGTTACAGTCTAGCTGAGAAAAAGCTTTCTGATGCCTATCATATGTGACGTTTGTGACATAGTTTGAAGGGATTATTTTTATTAATCTTCCATTTAAATGAAAAGGATACAGTGCATATATCCTTTTGATATAGCTATCAGTGACTGAAGTAAAAATCCAGAGTGCCATAGATTTTATTCTATTTCTTTTTTCCAAGATGAGATAAACCTTTCCTGGAAAAGCAGAGTAAGCTAATGTTGGGGGTTTGTTTTTTTATTTGTTTAATTCTTTTAGATCACAAGGAACAATTGAAAGCCATTTTGTTGTAAGCACCAGGCTTGAAATCGGGAGATTTTGAGTTCTAGTCCTGCCTTGGGCACAAAGCCAGCTGGGTAATTTTGATTCAGTTACTTTTTCTCAGCCCAAGGAAGGATGCAATGGCAAATCACTTCTGAAAAATCTTGCCAAGAAAACTGCAAGGACTTATCCAGGCAGTCTCCAAGAACCAGACACAACTGAATGGAAGAAATAAGATTAATTAGATACTATCACATAATTAACTAAATTAGGAAACTTAAGCATGGACTAGAGAACTAATGTAGCTTTAAAAGAGTAGATGTGGGGTTGGGACAATTTTCCAGGTCAAGAGTTCTTAACTAATTCATTACAGAAAATAATACTCACAATTCTTGCTTTTTCTAAATACATCTTATATCTCTCTTCCATTGATTTCATATCTTCATCTTTCTTATGCAAAGCAGCTTCTAATTCTTCTATTTTTTGTGCTATTATTAGAAAAGCCAATGTAATAATTAGTAGAAATAAATATATCCAAATCTGGAACAACCAATAACATTAGAATGTGAATATTGTTAGCTCTGGAGGCCTACAGGATCAGTAATTAGTTGTAATCCATTAAGGCTACAGATTGTGATCCCATTAATGCCGATAAAATTTGGATTCTAATAAAACATCTGAAGGACCACAAGGTCCTCATTTTTGCCTTATAACCAGCTGCATTCACTTTAGTATTCAGAAATACAGCTCAAAGATATCATATATACTGCATTTCATAAAATATGACTTTTGAGTACAAAGAAAAAAAGGATGTATCCTTCAATTTATCTACTTGCAGTATTTTATCAATACATTGGGTAGTAAAAGACACCTAATAGAGAAAAGTTTAATGTCCTCCAAAGTTTATATATGCAATAGGAATAAAGTATACCAGTAGTAAAAAGTGAAAGGGGCAACAGATCACTTTACAACCTGCCTCCAGAAGCGGTGAACGCTCCAAAACTGGAAGTTTTTAAGAAGAAACTGGACAGCCATTTGTCCAAAATGGTATAGGATTACCTTCCTGAGCAGGGGGTTGAACTTGATGACCTCCAAGGTCCCTTCCAACTTTATTATTATTATTATTATTATTATTATTATTATTATTATTATTATTATTATTATTATTATTATTATTATTATTACTTTACCATTTTGATTTAAATCTGGTTGAAGGTCTGCAAGAAGAGCTTCCTTCTTCTGCAGTTCATCATGGACTTCATTTAATTTCTCCCTGAAAGTACACGGCTCTTTTAACTAAAGGACAACATAGTTGACTTACTTTATTTTATATAAAAAAAACCTGCATGTTACTTTCTCACCTTACAATTCTGTGAAACACTAAAACACTGCATCCCACCATAAAACCAATACAACGCTATTAAAAAAAAACAAATCAAGATGATAACTTAGGTGAGAAGCACATAATTTATCCTAACAGTTATGAATTCCTGAGCAAACCCTGATTCTCTCTCAAGGTTTGGAGGATGAATGCCTAAGGGGAATCCACCATTATTGAGTTACACAGGGGTGTCAAACTCAATTTCATTGAGGGCCGCATCAGCATTCCGGTTGCCCTCGGGGTGTGTGTGGCCAGGGTGGATTTGGCCTACTGGGTGGGCGTGGATGGAGTGGGTGTGGCCTACTGGGTGGGCATGGCCAGCTCTACATCGTTCGCATCAAGGGTGCCTGTGGGGGCCTGGGCAGGAATGGGACAGATCTGAGGGTCTCTGGCAGAAGGGGGTGGGACCGGGGCAAGCGCCAAGGCATAGTCCATTTCTTCATTCCTCACAAAGGGTGACACCTCCCCAGCATGCACCCAGGGGGCGGGGCTGACGCGGCAGGCTGGTTCCTCGCTGTTTCTAGACGGCTTGTGGAGCTAAGACTGAATGCGTTTCAGCATAGATGGCCACCACAAAATTGTACATTGGCTCCCGGCTGGCCTGGGCCAGGGCCAAGGCAGCAGGGGCCATTCCCTCACTGTTTTCAGGATGGCTTCGCGGGCCATATGAAACCACTTCGCGGGCCGCATCCGGTCCCCAGGCCTTGTGTTTGACATGTCTGAGTTACAAGATGAATATGTCTGGGAAGGTAGGAGAGGGGACCATACAACTGCAAAAAACCCTCCTTGTCCATGATCCCCAACTTTACGTATATATTATGCATATATTTTACTACTAATAAAATTCCATAATGGTGTTACAAACCAGAAAAAAGGTTAGTTAAATAAGTTGTAAAAAAAAAGTCTTATTCTCATGCCTGCTCACATGCATACAAAGAAATATAAATGTTTCACTTACATATGGGCTGCTATCTTCTGCTTCAATTCACTGGACTGGAAATAATAATTATAATGTCATTAGATCCATTGAACAATCATACACACAAACGTTAACTATGATCAATCCCACTGCAGAGGAACATAAAAACTACTGAGTACTACTTCATTATATAACCTCATTGGAACAGACAATGTTTCAAGATCTCACTTCAATATCAGATAAAAACAAGGAAAGTTATATTTAGCCTATGTGTTTCCCATATCCTCATTGTCCTGTGATTTTTTTAGGAATGGCTGTGCATCACACTGGTTCCTATTTGAAATCTTTTCTTAGTCATTCATGAACAACTGACAGCTCCCAACATTAAAATATGTCATGCACTTGTGTTTGCGTTTAAAATGCATGTTTTAATTGTAATTTATGCAATAAGCAATTAACTATGGGACAAGAGCCAGAATAAATATTTACTTTGAAATTAAGATATCCCAACTCCAAGGAATGATTAACGACATACATAAAAATGTTATAAACATATACAAAAATCTTGTACAACGTTCAGCTTTCCTGCTTTAACCAAAGCTGTTAATTTACACTGAAATCAAGCCTGAATAATCCTTTCTTCAAAATAATGAACTCACTGTGCATATTTGTATACATACATGCATATATACATTTTTATCTTGGAACTGGCCAGAGGCCATATTCCAAAAAGACAACTCAGGTTCAAAATTTAATCAGCATTAATACGAATCACTATTGGCCAGAATTACTTCTCTGTAGAAAAAAGTATCCCATTATCAAAGTTAACTGATTCCTGTATGCATACTTAGACACAAATAGCCTTCTAACTATAGTAAATTATGCATATGCTGTCACACAAAGAAAGGCCTCCTATAGCGAACATCTGTACATTCTTATTCTGTAATATAACTTACACTAGATTTTTACAGAGTACTTAGAACTTATTTCACTTATGTTCTACTATGAAATAAAGGTAATCCTCTGCTTACGATGACAACTGGAACCGGAACTGCCACTGCAAAGCAAAGTGATTGTAAAGTGCAATGTCACGTGACTGCATCACTTACCGAGGGCAATTCTGCCAGTCCCGATAGCCGTGGTTAAGTGAAGACTGCGTGGGTTGTAATGAAAGAACCATGGGTGACCACAAATTTCAACTTCCTGCTGGCTTCCCCACTCACTTCGCTTATGGGTAGCCAGCAGGGAATATCATAAATCGCAATCACTTGACCATAAACACACACTGCAACAGCCACAATACAAGGACCTGCTGTAAGTACCATCTGCTCAGGACTGACATAATTTTGAACAGTCACTGAACAAATGGATGTAATCCAAGAGGTCGACTCCTAGACCCCTAACTTGTGGGGTGCCTCAGGGGTCGGTCCTCTCTCCCCTTCTGTTCAATATTTATGTAAAGCCGCTGGGGGAGATCATTCGTGGCTTTGGGGTGGATTTCCATCAGTACGCTGACGATACTCAGCTGTACATCTCCACCCCGGGCCACCCCAACGATGCCCTTGACGTGATGGCCCG